CGGGTTGAAAGTAAGAGTAACGAAAGAAAGTCATATATACACCTTTTTTTAAAGTAATATGGATACTTATTTGACTTTCTTTTTGAGGAAGGACCCATCTCGCTGATAGACAGATGCTCCGATTCCTTGACACTGGTGTTACGCAGTAAAGCAGACAGGATTCAAAACCTCCTTGCATTGAGTCCAAATAGAGAGCAGTCAAATATTTGCCATAAACCTAATCCTGCTTCGCATTAATTGTTCACGAACGTTCTAACACAACTAAATAGGAAGTCGACCAGTGGTTGGGCAAGAATCTCGACTGTACATTGTTTAGTTTCGTCTGGGATCAGGGTATGTCTTGATTCGTTATGATTGGAGGAATCAGTGTTTTCCCCAATTAATCACTAAGGCAGCATGCCTAAAACATTAATATGATGTAATTCATGAAACGTTTTTTACTGTCAGAACAGTTGTGAGTTGGCTTGGCCCTTGCGGAACGCATTTCTCTATGCCAGTGTTTTCATTTGAACTCTGTCTATGTCCTGTCTTGTCTTCAATTGATGGTATTCCCGGCTTTGAGCTTGGAGGGATGTTACGTAGTGGAGTGTACCGCGCAGCGTTCAATAGGTAGTATTGAAACTTTGGCTGTATAGGAGCGAGCGGCTGTTCGCAACATACTTAGTTGGCCCCTGGGTGACAAGGTAAATTAAATGACAGCCGACCCTCAGCTAATGAGAAAATCATATACGAGTGCTCAATACCCATGACATACCATACGAGCTAAGGGTGCAGCACCAGTCTACAACAGCATAGTGAAAGACAGCGGTTCCCAACCTGTGGGCCCGTGGCGCCACTAGTGTCCGCGAAGGCATTGCAAGTGGGGCGCCAATAATTTCATTTCCTTTCATTTTTTTTTTTTCTATTTTTTTTTTTTTACAGGCTTCTTTTTTTTACAGGCAAACATGGACCATAACAATACAATATAGGAGATGACGTTCCCATCTCAGACAACAACAAACAAAAAACAGAAGAAATAAAAGAATACTGTCAGTAGGATCATTTCAGCAAACAAAATAGGTTGACAACCAAAACCCACCAAAAGAGCCAACATGGCAAGCATATTTATTGTGTTCCTTTAACCACTCTTCGTTAGAGCTCATTATTTCCCATTTCAGTGGCGTTGTCCAGGCCACCCTTTTGATTTTTGTGGCAATAATTATTTTCTAAAATAAATTATTATTTTTAATCTACTCTTCAAACACCTTAAATTAAGATTACTCCTTGATTGAATTTTAAAAATATGTATTTTAGCCAGAAGAATAGTTGTATTTATTAACTGTGTGCGGTCTTCATCTAAAGCCCAAATACAATATATATAAAAGGGTGTAAATGTAAATTCAATATTTGCCGCCAAATAATTTGCAAAACATTATGATTTGAGTGGAAACATTTTCATTATTAAGACTTTTTTTTATTTTAACCTATTTTCCTTTCTCTTTCTTGATCCTCCTTAGCAACGGTCATTACAGTCCTTGACAGCGGTCTGTTCTTCTGGATTTACAATGTGTCACATGTTCTGAATTGACCAGAACTTTATTTAGCCTCCATATTGTTTATGGTTGAATGTGGGCCGCGAAAACATTTTAGATTCTTGAGTTGAAAAAGGTTGGGAACCGCTGGTGTAAAACACAAGTGAATGGTAATGCTGGCCTGGATGCAGGGGCCTTCTGGGAGTTACTAGATCAATCTTGTGAAGCTCAGATCAATTCAGTACTCCATATTTCATCCTTTCTGAGCAGGTCCTGCCGTGGTCCGGCCTCTTCCGGTTTTCATTTGTCCCTGTTGTGGACGGAGAGGTCCTGCCCGACACTCCCGAGGCCATGCTCAGCTCAGGCAACATTAAAGACACTCAGGTCCTGCTCGGGGTCAACCAGGACGAGGGCTCCTACTTCCTGCTGTACGGAGCGCCCGGCTTCAGCAAGGACAATGAGAGCCTCATCTCCAGGGAGGAATTCCTGGAAGGTGAAGTCACTCAGCTGTAATGGATGGATAGAGAATATTGTAGAAGGATTGTTCAACTGGTTTATATGATTGATGAATTTAATAGTTCTCTTTTACTGTGACTAATCCAGAGATGGGAAAAGTACTCAGATCATGTACTTGAGTAAAAGTAGAAGGAATACTCTGTTACAAGTAAAAGTCCTGCATTCAAAATTTTACTCAATTAAAAGTACAAAAGTATAAGCATCAAGATATACTTAAAGTACTCATTGTGTAGATTGGTCCATTTCAGAATAATGATAATGTGTTGATTATAATGATTGATCATTAAAGTGTTATCAAAGCTGGTAAAGGTGCAGCTAGTTTTAATGACTTTGAGTGAAGTAAAAGTACACCATTTACCTCTGAATGGTAGTGGACTAGAAGTACAAAGTAGCAAAGATTTTAAATACTCAAGTAAAGTACAAGTATCTCAAAATTGTACTGAAGAACAGTACTTAAATGTACTTTACACCATTGGACGAATCAGAGAGATTTGCAGAAAATCCACACGTTCAATTTCAAGCTTTCTGTACATCACCCCACATCACAGCTGAAGTAGTACGTTTACAAAACCTTTACTGTGCCAGGTGTGAAGCTCAGCGTGCCACATGCTAACGACATTGGCCTGGAGGCCGTGGTGCTGCAGTATACGGACTGGATGGATGAGAATAACGGGTTGAAGAACCGGGAAGCCTTGGACGACATCGTGGGCGACCAAAACGTCATCTGCCCGCTGGCACACTTCGCTCGCTCCTACGCCCAGCACAACGCCCTGAAGTCTAACATGGGAGGAAACCCACAAGGTAAGATATACGAGGGTGGTCCAGTTTGGCCCTCTTTTCCTCATAAAGCCAGAACTAATCAGGCAGACTGTAATTCATCTGAAACCTACAACATTTGCATCATGTCTGAGATCCTGGGACAATAACTCTGATGCCTTAAGATTTACAGTTAACAATAAAACAATATTGTATAAGGAATTCACTCTCCAGAGGAAGATTGAAATGGGAATTTTGCTGTATTGTATCGTGTATTGTAAGTGGCTTATATAATATTGTTATACTCGGGAATTTTCTATTTTTCAAAGGGCTTATATTGTCCTAATAGCTTATCGTTTTATATCATCTGGAACCAAGGAATGAAAAAATCCAAAACTAAAATGTCTCATTTTCTATATTTTTACCTTTTCCAAACAATTGATAATATATCTAGATAATAAGATCTATTATAATCATCTATCTGCAGTTAAAGTAACAAACGCATTGTTTAGACAACTGCAATAACTTCATATGTTTATTCCTTTTGCTCTAAAACTCAAAATAAACCCCTTCATTTATTAAGTTAGATGAAAACAAAGACTGCCAATATATGTTCTCTTCAAAGCCACCAGACCATATTTAATGAAACAGTAATTTTTCCTTGCTGATCATTTCATAATACACTTTATTCAAACTTGACAGAAACCAAATAAATCTATTCAAAAACGTCTTTGTTGGCGTTCCCTCTGTTCCAACAATCACCACATCTTGTTTGAGTGTTTAAAATAGTCTAAATAAGTAACAGATATCAAAAGATCCACTAAACAAATTCTTTACCAGCATCTGCAGAATGTGTTGGTATCACACCATTTCTATAGGGTCAAACTAACCAATGGTCCTCTTCTCCTCCTGCTCCTGCTCCAAAGGCCTCTACCTCTATCTGTTCGACCACCGGGCGTCCAACCTGGCGTGGCCCGAGTGGATGGGAGTGATCCACGGCTACGAGATCGAGTTTGTGTTCGGGCTGCCCCTGGAGAAGAGACTCAACTACACCCTGGAGGAGGAGAAACTGAGCCAGCGCATCATGAGATACTGGGCCAACTTTGCACGAACTGGGTGATGCCTCACAGACTTGAGAATGAATGTACTTATCAACTGTAATGAGCAGCAGCAGAGAGAGAGAGGGGGGGACCAGAGAGGACAAACCAGTCCATCTTGATTAGGTTGCTTAGCTACAGGGTGGATGAGGGGGTCAGTTATAGATCACAAGTCACTCAGTCTTGCTACTGCAAAGCAAACCTCCATCTCTGTGGTTGAAGTCGAATGATAGATACTTCCGGGGAATCCCAAGGTCTATCCAGCTGTGACGCCATTGAATTTGTTTGGTCTACCATTTTGATCCAGATTCAAATACACCCCCAAATAAATTGGATGGATTTAAATGTGGCAAAGATCAAAGTCTTTGCCAAGTCTAGTGATGTTGCTCACTTTCCCATGTTTCCTTGTTTAGCTCCACCAGCACTTAAAATGTTCTACTCATGCAGGGAAATATATCAGTATCAGATTGATTGGCACAAAACAGACATTCATGGTCCCCAGAGGATGAAGCCCACATTGGTAACGCTTTGACTGTGCATCGAGCACAACAATTATGTCAAAAACATTATTAGAACAATATTTTACTATATTAAAATATATCAAAAATATATCAAATATCAAAACAACAAAAATACATTTCCCTCAGATCCAGATGTCCTTTGAGTTTTTCTGATTTATTAGAGATGATAAGCTGCTTAAAATCACCATTGTCATTTGGACATTTTAGCATTTGATTAGCATTTAGCGCAGAGGAGTGCTTTGCCTAAGCACACAGCATGACACTCACAGCTAGAGGTCTCCTAACAGGTAGATGTTAGGGAGAGGCAAGGTGGACCTTTTAAAGGGTAAACCTCACCCGCTGAGGCCAGATATATCCTGACATTTAGATCAGAAATAATTAGCAAGTACATGCTTTTCATTCATCAAAACAACCCCACATATTTTGTCCATATCAAAATGATGGTTCTGCCCTGCCATTACTGTAAATACATTCCTTCTGTCTCTACACAACTGGAGATTTATTTATGATTCTAATCAAATTATGTCTGGACTTTTTTTTTCTGTCTGAGCAAGTGAGTAATAGCCCTGCGGCAGAAACGGCAGAATGCTGATGCAAAGCTTTTGATTAAACTGCCACGTACTGGACTGATTTCCTTCCAGTCAGTCAAAGAAAACAGCTTCAGGTTCAGATGTGTTTTCATAACTGCTTGAGAGACGCTTCAATATGTGTATATGTGCATTTCTGTTACTTATACGCATAGTTCTACTACGTCATGAAGTAAATATTCAAACTGAAAAGAGGTTTATGTGTGACATTGGTAATGTTTCATGTCAACATATAGTTAACTTCCTAATTTCTTAGTTACTATAACCAACTGATTTTTGATTTAGCATCCACTATTAAAACCATTGGAAATAGGTTAGGAAATATCTGTCAAATCAAGAGCAATCACCTCTTTAAACAGTCATCTCATGCTAACATCACAAGCTAGCATGATTTCAAAAGATACCATTTCAGAAGCATAAAAAACATAGATTATTCAAATGTACTGTATTTTCTAGTACTGACAATGGTTGGCATTTGAACTAGCTAGTTTTACCCGAGTGGACCTAAGAAACAAGCAATGAGTGTATTTGTTATGTATATCTATTCTTAATTGTAACTCCTCCTTGTCCCTGTACTTTTTCCTGCAGAAATCCCAATGTGAACCATGACGGGATGATGGACAGCAAGAAGCGCTGGCCTCTGTTCACCGTCAGCGAGCAGAAACACGTCGGACTCAACACTGAACCAATGAAGGTCCACAAAGGGCTGAGGAACCAAATGTGCGCCTTTTGGAACCGCTTCCTGCCACGTCTCCTCAACATCACCGGTAAGCACTACTCCTTAACACTTCTTGTACTTTCAAACATGACGTATGTACTGAATACAGATCAATACTAGACATTATGTTCCCAATGGTATTCCAAAAAGCCAGGTCAAATATGTATGGATGTCAATGAATTTTGGCAAAGATGTTCACCGTCCCCAGGAGATGTTGGTGATCCCCTCACTTTCCACTTTTCAATTTCAGCTCCACCAGCAGTTAAAATGAAATATATGAGTATCACCCAGATTGATTGGTGCAACATTTGGTACAAACATGCATGGTCCCGAGAGGATGAATCCCACTGACGCTCTGACTTTTTAGCATTGTCTACATTTTTATTCGAGCAATATTTTATTCCAACAAGCAAAGAGTAAAAAAGAAGAAGGATATCGGCTGGGGAAAATAAAATAATAATAACAAAGGCCAGATAAAAAAATCAAATGTTTACATCTAGATATGTTTAAGATATGTAAAGAGCTGGACATTTTATTTGGTAAATACAGCATAAATGTAGGCTACATTGTAGGCTACGTACAATGTAGCCTACATTTCAATAGACCGTTCAAAGTTAACTTTATTGTCAATCTTCTGTGTGTGTGATACAGGCAGGCAGATCTAAATGCTGTTTCTCACCTATCCAGAGGAATACAAATAAAGATATATGTGTAACTGTATACAGACATACAGACCTGTACACTTACTTATATATAAAGTATGTACTCATACACAATGAAATATAGACACATATTGTATATATACATATACACACATTAAGAGAGATAAATAAAAAGACACAACTGTCTATATATACAAACAGTTGTTGTCAAGCTAGCGTCAAAATTTCCTGACATCTCCTGCAGATCTTTTTCAACAACTGCCTTTTTCTTACAAAAGTACACCACATGGAGGGTGATGCTCTTTGACCTGAGGGAACTGTCCCTTTTCATTTGAAGAAAGGGATGGGGGTCATTGGCAGGGAGGTTTGGACTACATTACATTACATTGCATTTAGCTGATGCTTTTATCCAAAGCGACTTACAATAAGTGCGTTCGACCGACAAAGTACAGACTTGAAGAAAACAGAATCATATAAGTACATCAGGTTTCATAGAGCTAAAACATTTCAAGTGCTACTCAACTGGCTTTAGATAAGCCAGTCCTTTATTAGTATACAAGTGCTTTGTTGATAGTTCTATCTAGAAAAAGATGCATGAAACTGTCTTGAGGTTCGCACCCAAACAAAACACCAATGACAGGCTGTGATTCTGACATGCATAACGGGCAACATGGCTCCACTTTCCTCTGTGTCTCCCCTCTCAGACAACATAGACGAGGCAGAGCGCCAGTGGAAGGTGGAGTTCCACCGCTGGTCCTCCTACATGATGCACTGGAAGAGCCAGTTTGACCACTACAGCAAGCAGGAGCGCTGCACTGACCTCTAAGAGAGAGAGAGAGAGAGAAAGACGGGGAGGGGGACAGAGAGAACAAGCCGTGGCCATTTCCCTCCATAGCCCCCTCAGTGAAGTCTAACTTCATTCAAACATTTCCTTTTTTTTCTTCTGTTTCACTCCACACACAAACACATAGGCACTGTTTATCTTTATTTGTATTATTTATACTATTTATTTATGTGTTATTTTTATTTATGTGTTTCTCTGTGGAAGCTAAGAAAGGGCTATGGAGGGAAGTTGTCATCAATAAGGAGGAATATTAGAAATGTCAAAGATGTGTCATTACCTCGGGTGTGTGTGTGTGTGTGTGTGTGTGTGTGTGTGTGTGTGTGTGTGTGTGTGTGTGTGTGTGTGTGTGTGTGTGTGTGTGTGTGTGTGTGTGTGGGGCTTGAAAGCCCCCAGTTTAACTTAACAGGCCCATGACACTGCAACACTGCTGGTTCACTGTGTGTTCTGTTGATCTTCATCTCTTGTTTTTGAGGATTCCTTCTTTCCGACATATCAGGGTTTTTTGTTTTTTGGACTCAACAAAACTGTTTGTTTGTTTTTTGGACTCAACAACACTGTTTGTTTGTTTTTTGGACTCAACAACACTGTTTGTTTGTTTCTGTCGATGCCTTTTTTGTTCATGATTACTATAATGACCGCTATTCCCATTTGCTGCGTGTTCTGCTCCTTGTGTATTTCTCCTGTGGCAAAGCCATAAGCTGGGTATTTTGTGTGGAAACGCTCCATGGACTATAACTGTTTGGTGCCTAATTTATATTTTAGAAAGTTCACCTAAATCTGCTTGACCTTTGTCAGAAATAATTCATTTTTTATGTTAATGGCACTCTGTCAGCTGTTTAGTACCATACCTCTCACTGTCTTATTTGCATATCAGCATAGATCAACAGAAATTGGGTAGAGGGGGTGGGCAGAGGAACTGGAAATGTCTACTGATAATGTAAAACTGGGAAAATGTGTTCAAATGGCCCTGAATGGTAACAGCTGCACTCTTGAGTTAAAGTGAGGCATTTCACTTCGGCCACTGTGACCACTGTTAAAAGCAATTCATCCATTTGAAAATGTTTTTTTAATGAATTGATATTTAATCTATTCATATTTGCAGCTTTACTCTTACATACTCTTTAGACATTTTAGACTCTAATTTGTAAAGAAAATATAATGTAAAGAAATGTCACTTTAAAGCCACTATTTAAGCATTTCAAACTGCCTAGCGTTAGCATTATTGGGTGGTAGCATTTGGAAATGGCAAAAACCGGTACCCTTCAACCAAAAAATAAATGTAATACTGTAATAATAATCCTTTGTTACACAATCTGTACGAAGATGATCCCTGTGAGGATACATTTGTACTACATTTTTAAATGTTTTACATTACAGAGTGAATCAGTTGCTTTATGAAGGAATCCCTTAAAGTTAACCCTTTAAACATACAGTATAATGTGATGAACTCTAAATACTTTTGTGTGCGTCTTTCAATCCAAATCTGTTTGGGGGGGATGTGATAAGCAGGAGCATCGCTGTAGCTGTGAGGTTACTGAGGTCATGTGACCTCTGTCCTTGTCAAATCTTGTTCACAGCCCTGTTCAGAAACCACTTTTTTCCACTGCACTGAATTTCTTTGAGTGAGTGTATGCGCTGTCTTAGGTGTGTGTGTGTGTGTGTGTGTGTGTGTGTGTGTGTGTGTGTGTGTGTGTGTGTGTGTGTGTGTGTGTGTGTGTGTGTGTGTGTGTGTGTGTGTGTGTGTGTGTGTGTGTGTGTGTGTGTGTGTGTGTGTGTGTGTGTGTCATCCACTCAGTGTCATGTACAGCTGTGATGTATTCCAATAACATTTCACCCCTCTCTGTTTGGTACAGTCCTCTCTGCTTTTTTATTCGTTTTACTTTTGATCGTCCCCTCTCTTTTTGCTACAGTCCTCTCTGTTTTTTTTATCGTTTTACTTTTGATCGTCCCCTCTCTGTTTCTTTACTTAATTCGCTGTTTCCACCAGCTCTCCTCTCCCTCCCCATCCTCCCTCTCTTCCCGCAGCTGTTCCTCTCCACCACCACCGCCCTGTTGCCCTGCTTTCCGCCTCTCAGTCTTCCTCCCGCTTCATCTTCCTCTCTAATCACCCTCCACCCACCCTCCTGCCTCTCCCACTCTCTTCCTTTCATCCTTCACCCTCCCCACTCATATCCTTCTCCTTCCACCCCATCTAACTTTTCTCCTCTTCATCATCTCTCTTTCCTTCCTCATCCATCTCCTCGCTCCCCTCCCTACTCGGCCTCGTCCCCTCCCCCATCGCTCTCCTCCGTCCTCCTGCTTTCTCGTTAGTCTAATGGAGGCAGAGTAATTCACTCAGCAGCGGGGTAATGTGACAGAGCGCTTGCTCAGCCTCTGGCCTGCCAGCCAACACTGGATGGATGGATAGATGGAAAATGGAGGTGGAAAGGTACAGAGATGAGGCAAGGAGAAAGGGACAGAGGAGGAGGAGGACAGGG